TTCATAATGGCCCTAACACCCGTGCTGGAAGGTTGTGGGTTTATGGGAATGAGAGCAAAGAACACACCTGGCCCACCCAGGGTGGAAAACCGCATAAAGGCATTCTTAAGCCCTGAACAATAGCATGAGTGATCTGCGCCTCAAGGGCGTACTCTTGCTGCAGTTAACTAGCCCAACGTATTCCTTTAATTCGGCCCATCCCTTCATTTCCCATAAGGGATACTTTTAGTTAATTTAATATCTATAGAAATAGTGCTAATGACTGGTTTGCTGTTAATAAATATGTGGATAAATCTCTCTTTGGGACTCTCAGCTCTGAAGGCTGTGACACCCCTGATTTCCCACTTCATGCCTCTATATTTCTGTGTGTGTGTCTTTAATTCCTCTAGTGCCGCTGGGTTAGGGTCTCCCTGACCGAGCTGGTTTCAGCAAGTGGCATCCATTCATGGGGGCTCGAATCCAGGTCGAAGGGTCGCTGGAGTGACAGTTGGAATGGAAAACTAGCTGGAGGACACCGAAGTACTCTTAAAGTAATCCCCGTGGTGAGTAAGAAGGGGAGCTCAGAGGTGTCAGGGTAACAATGGGACAGGTATGGGGTCTGGTTTGTTTCACCTTGGAACTTTTTCACACTGATTATGAGGAGGAACAAGAGTATAGTGAAGTAACAGAAGCGGTTACAGAGCATGTTCATTTGCCAGCTAAAGTGAAAGTGGCAAAGGAAGGAGAGGTTCATCCCTACCCTTCTGCACCCCCTCATTATTATTTTGAAGAAAATGACCCCCCAGATCTTTCTTTTCTGGAGGACACTGGGCGAAAAATAATTGCCCCAATGACTCCTCAAGTAGCACCTTGAGCGACTGCTCTTAGTTCTATTCAGGCAGGAATTCAGCAAGCTAGACAAGAGGGTGATTTAGAGACTTGGCAGTTCCCTGTTAGAATACACCCCCTAGATCAACAGGGAAATATTTTCTCGTTGTGTTTGTTTCTTTTTTTTTTTTTTTTTTTTTTGAGACAAAGTCTCACTCTGTTGCCCAGGCTGGAGTGCAGTGGTGTGATCTTGGCTCACTGCAATGTCTGCCTCCCAGGTTCAAGTGATTTTTGTGCCTCTGCTTCCTGATTAGCTGGGATTACAGGTGTGTACCACCACACCTGGCTCATTTTTGTATTTTTAGTAGAGATGGGACTTCATCATGTTGGCAAGACTGGTCTCAACTCCTGACATCAAGTGATCTACCTGCCTCCACCTCCCAAAGTGCTAGGATTACAAGCATGAGCCACTACACCCAGCCTGTCTTTGGTTCTTGACAGTTATTTTGTGTCTAGGTATTGGTCTCTTTGCGTTTATTCTACCTGGAAGTAATTGAACTTCTTGAATATGTACCTTAACATTTTTCACAAATTTGGGAAGCTTTTGACCATGATTTTTTCAAATATTTTTTTCTGCCCTTTCTCTTCTTGTTTTAGGACTCTAATTATGCATATGTTGATATGCTTGATAGTGTCCCACAGATCTCTAAGGCCATATTCATTATTATCTTTTCTTCCTGTTTCTTGTACAGAATAATCTCAATCAAACTGTCTTCATATTAACTGATTCTTTCATCTGCCTGCTCAAATCTGCTGTTGAGCCTCTAGTAAAATTTTCATTTTAGTCATTGCACCTTTCAACTTCAAAATTTGTTTGCTCTTTTAAAAATAGTATTTATCTCTCTACTAATATTCTCTTTGCTGAGATGGCATTCTTTTGCTGTTTTTAGTTATATGAAAATACTTAAAATAGTTGACATAAAGTCTTTGTTAGTCAGTCTAATTTATAGACTTTCTGAGAAACAGTTACTTTTGATAGGTTTTTTATCCCTGTGTAAGGGCCATACATTTTTGTTCCTTTGCATATCTCAAAGCTTTTTTTGTTGAAAGTTGGTTGTTTTAAATAACGTCAACTCTTAAAATCAGATTCTTCCTCTTCCCAAGAGTTTGTTGTCATTGCTGTTTGTTGTTGTTATTATTGTTCTGAACTGATTTTGTACAATTTGTATTCTTTGTTGTATGTGACCACTAAAGTTTTTGCTCAATTTGTTTAGTTATCAACTAATGATTGGACAAAGATTTCTTTAAATGCCTGTAACTAATATGCCTCCCAGACTTTAATGATGGGTTCTGTGTATGTGTTGAGGTACGCCTTTAATACTCAGTCGGGGAGTTGACAACTGCCTTACCCTTTGCTTTGCATTTTGAGCCTCAAAGTTAGCCAGAGGTGAAAGCTTAGGGCCTTTTCAGGTCTTTCCTAGGCATACCCACAGCCACGAGGTCATGCCCATAGCTGAACATATGCATGTAACTTTCTAAATACTTAACAATATGTGAAACTTTTGAAACCCCTATTGACATCTCATTCCCTGGATTCTCCTTTTAAGCTTTTTATTTAGCCTGTTGTTCACTCTGTTACCTAGGCAGCTGTGATGTTAAACAATTGCCTCTAACTGTTTTCAACAAATGTCCTGGGAGTGGGTACTTTTCACACAGAGTAAGTGCTGAATCTGATCAAATAAAGACAGCTTTGCAGGTGAGGTCTTTGGGAGAACCACCAGACAGGTTAAATAATTACTGTTCTCTGAAACTGAGACTTTGAAAGAGTTCTGTTCCACTCTGTCTCCTCTGGTGGCTGCTAGGCTGCTAGTGTTTCATTAAGATTTTGGAGCATTGGTTTTCAAGGCTACTACAAAGCTGGAGATGGGGGAGATGAGAATAGGCCAAATTAAAACATCACAAAACTTGTTGTTCCTACCAAGATTCCAGCTCCCCAATTGCTGTAAGTCCTTGATTAATTTCCAGAATTCTTAAAAATTGATTCAAAAATTTTAGACAGATTTCTTGGTGCTCTTATGAAGGAAAGATATTTTGGAGGCTCCCACTCCTCTGTGGTGCAGATGTCACTTTCTCTTATTTGTTTATATTCTTATTTATAGGTTATTCTAATGTTACTGGTAATTAAATGCACTGTATTATCTATATATGCATATATTATAAGACTAGAGTATAGTTAAGATCATTTTATTTCTTATTACTCTTTTAGGTATTGCCATAAGTAAACCTTTGTTCAGAGTGCAAACTAAGCTACCTTATACTGCATTTATTATTACATCCACCTACCCAGTCAGCCAGCCATGAAGCAAAGATCCATTGAGCATCTATCATGGTCAGGTCTATATGCTATAATTCCAGACATTGGTAGTGAAAAATATTTGGAAAGTGAAGAATTCTTAAGTATTTTAAAGAAAAACCAAATATTTAAATTTTTTGGCTCACATATCTCTGAAAAATCTAATGTCACCTTGAGAGTAAGGGATTTGAGAGCTAAACATTTAAGACAGTATGTAAAGAAAAAAAGTAGAAAATGTTCCTAATTAGTATGTCCTAAGAGAAAGATTAGAAAATGGTCAAATATAGGCCCTTGGGTTTATGAGCTTAAAGTCTATGAAACCAGTCTATTAATGAATAAAATATCTTTTCCTGATTAAATATTATAAAACTTTTATTTTTTAAAAAATTTACTGATGGTATAACCAAGAAAATGAGATTCTAGGTTGAATTCTTTTCTGAAGTCTGAGAAATTCATGTCAATTAAATTAGTTTTTTTCCCTTCTTCTTTCCATAGAAAAGTAAGGAAAATAAATGATGAATTATAAACTAATCCCTCCTCAAACTCCAAATTGACAGCAATAGTGTTAATAATAGTCAATTTCATGTCAAGAGGAAAGCTTAATATAATTGAAATGGAAATGAGTGTTTAAAATGTAGAAATCTTTTCATATGTTTTAAGCAAATTATTTATTTTAGTATGAATGTTTGTGCTCTTTGTTGGGAACACACTGTTTGTTTTGAATGTCATTTTTTTCTGTAGGATAATTAGTGTTCATCTGAACTTATTGAATTAACATTTTTTATATTTAAATGAGATCAATGAACATTTTTATTTCTTCTCTTTCTTTTGGCCTCAGTTAACCTTTAACATATTATTATTTAATATTGAAAAAAAATACCCAACTTTGCCAGGTAAGTAAGGGATTTTGTTGCATAAACAATACAGTTTTTCTGCTTACCTGATATAGCCAGACATGTTTTTCAATATTAAATAGTATATTAAGAGAGAGACTGAGGAGAGAAATGACAACTTGACATAAATGATATAAATGTACCAGATTCTTGGCTGCATACTCTAATCTATAGGTACATTTTTTGAGGTAGCAAGTCAAATGTTCTTGCCTGTGAGAGTGGGAGGATTCTGAATTCATATAATAGCAAGGAGTTCAGTGTCACTGAAGTTATCACTGCAAATGGAAGAGTAGAGAAATAAGGCTTTTTAGGTGTCTAAACAAGGAGTTCAGATTTTTATTGTCTAGGAGATGAAGAACTATTGGTGGATTTTTGAGCAGTGATGGAACATGGTCATTTGCAGGGAAATAACATTCTTGGAACTCTGGAGATAAATTTGATCAGGCAAGACCTGCCTTTAGAGGTCTTAATCTTATGCCAATTTTTTTTGGGAAGATGCTCACAGGGTCACTCTGCAAAACTTTTCCAGCCAGATCCCCAAATTAATGTTATTCCAATGAGAATATAGAGAATAGTCTAGGTCAGTTACATAAACCAGTTTGGACTTTGAAAAATGAAATGTCCTATTTTTATACATTGCTAATAAAAACAACAAGCTTATGACTGCTTGCTAAAAATTCTAGGTAACATCGAAACTTCTGTATCATTTTAGTTTCTAGTATATTAACAATTTTTGTTTTTAGAATAGTTCAAAGAAAGGGGCACCATTTCATTTTATATTTTCCATCTGTAAAGTAATAAAGAACTGTCTACATTTCGTATAGACTTTGATTTCATCTTTATGCAACTCCCATGAGCAGGTATTATTATCCTTATTTTAAAACTAAAGAAGCTGATTCCCAGGTTAAGCAACTTGGCTTTCATTACAGAAAGAGCTGGAATTTGAACCCAAGTCTCTCCAACATCAAAATCCTTTCTTTCTAATATATCATCCTTCTCCTTGATAGCACTTGTATAGGTGGAATGTTGTTCTTCCTCTGTACACCTTCTTTACAGAACATTTTCTTCATGTTATCTAAAGGTATGGTACAAATTAAAAACCTGTGAATCTCTGCATTAGGATAATTCAGCTTACCTAATTGTTTAGGTCACGTAGCCCCTTGTTTCCTCCGTAATAATAGAATAAAGAAGAGCCAGAGGAGTTCTGCTTTCCAATGACTTACATCACTCTGCAGACAATTGGCAGCCAGGAGACGGGCAGCTGCCACACTCTTCAGATTTCTCTCTATTTAAAGTTCAAAGAGACGCTGGATAACAAAAGAAAGAGGTAAGCGTGGCCTGACCTAGCCACCCACCAACAGGAATAATGGCTGAAAAAGGTAAGATTTAAGGCATTGGATTCTCTCGGCAAAATAAAAAAGGCTTCTTGACTTTGGTTTAGTTATGTTTCTTGGTGTTTCCCTGTTACTCTAAAAAATGTGGCTTCTATGCTAAATGACCATTAACCATATATGTTAGTGGCTGCAAAAATGCATTAATTGTGTAATTTGTGGATCAGACCTATAGGTTATGAAAATTTTAAAATGATCAGCAAAGCAAAAGAGCTTAATTTTGTTTATGCTTATTTTGAAAGGTGAGTTAAAAATCAGTTCTGATTTCAATTCTGAGCCAGAATTGAAGACAGTTAAGTTCTGTGTCAGATCTGCTAGTAAATGGCTATGTGAGTTTGGAGAAGTCCCTATACCTCTCTAAGTCTGTTTTCTGACAGTAAAATGAGAATACTGGGCTCAGTCGTCTGTTCCACATCTAACATTTTTGTACCACGTCTAACTTTTTTCTTGTTTTTAAACATTTTTTGTATTTATATTTTATAGTTATATAAAATAATTGATTCCAATTTGTCAAAATAGGTTGAATATATACTGTATCTAAGAAATAGCTTTTAAATATTTACAGGGATTTTTGCTTTGAATCTTGACAATGACCTTCTGAAATATGCATATCATCATCATGCCCATTTTATAGATAAGAAAACTGAGACACAGCAGTTTAGTAAGTTGTTCATGACCACTAAAGAGTGGTGGCACCAGGTGTTTAACCTGGACAGTCTTTTCCAGAGTGCAATGTCTTCAAGAACAGTTCCAGCTGTAACTACTTTGACATGCTCAAAACTGGACAAGAGAGAAGCATTTTACAATTACACTTCATATTTAGAAAGATGTTTTGTTCTTATTTGTGCTAGTAATGTAAGTGACATATGCAAAGTATGTTGTGCTCTTATATATTTCTGTTTCCAAACAATTCCACAGGTGTTAGTAAAGTTGAAAATATTAGTGCTAAAAAAACACTAATGGAGTGTATACTTTGAGTGTTAAAATGCACAGTTAGTGCAACTGGTACTATTTTACAAGGAAAATAAATAATGAGATACTGACTTTCAGGGCTTTGTGATATGTAAATTTTATTAAAATATGCACGTATAAAATATAAATGCACAATTAAAGGGTTAATATTAATTTTCAAGTTCTTTGAAATTGAGAAAAATACAAAGCCACATACATAGACAGTTCAAAAAAATTACTGCTATGTACTTCCATTGTAGTGGTACCCTAATTCATAAAAAGTCTTTCGTCCAAATGAGAGTAAAGGACATCTCATGTTGTTTGCTTTATCCTTAAGCAATACCACATGTCAAGTAAAGAGAACAGTTTTCCATTTAGTGCTTAATGCCTTATACGAGGTCACAGTGAGATGGAGAAACAAGAAAAGCACGTTGAATTTTGTCAGTTAAGAGAGACTCTAGCATTCTTGGAAAAATAGAAGTATTAAAATTCATTTCAACTTCAGAAAGTTTGCTTTTATAAGAGTGTCTTCTAATTTCAAATGTGTCTCATCTCCTGATGATTTTATTTTAATAGCATTTTTAAAAATTTCACGTTTTAAAGTGATGGAAATTGTAATAGGAGTATAATTGCTAAGAATATGTATTCCCTCTTTTAACTAATGGCATAAGATCTAACTGTGTTTTGCAGTTAAGAATATATCTGAGTCCTTAACACAGGGACATTAATTCTATAGAATGTTTTTCTGTGATCTTTCTAAATCTTTTTGTGTGATGCATGTGTGGATTTCTGTGTGTATGCATGTGTATGTTTGCTTGAAAGAACAAGAATTAAATGCAGTGAATACTTGTAAAAAGATACTTGTATAAATTGCTTTTTACAGGTAAGAGTACAAATAGGAGGCACAGGAGGAATCATGTATAACAAACGCCATTTATATGTGTGTTGGATTATTACTGCCCATTGATTCAGGTTCAGTGCTGGTTGTTATAATGAATAATTTTTAAACAATGGAAATTCTTTTCTGTAGTCAAGAATGGTTATATAATGTATGATACTTTCCTTTTCCCTGTGATATTTAAAATTACATTCGGCTATGGAGGCCAAGAACAATTCTCAACACCTTTCCCTGTGTTATAATTATTTACTTCAGTGGAAATTGTCTCAGAGTTGTATTAGATTTTTTTTATTTAAATAGCTGCTGTATGTGTTATTGCACAAATGCATGGATGTGTTCTGTATACACTAAACACACACGGTGGTTAGAGTTTACAAAGCTTTGCACATATGTTATGTCATTTGACCTTCAAAACTATTCCAGGAAGTAGATAGCACAAGTTTCATTACTGATATTTTACCAATAGGAAAGTTCAAGCTCAGAATTTCCCAAGGTCACATAACAGTAAAAGATCCGTGGTTTAATTCAAAATACCCAGGATTTATGACAGTCTCATGTATTCTCTGTAGAAAAGAAAAAATAATTATGTATGGGTATAACTAGAGAGTGTATGCTTTTTTTCTTAATGTTACCAGATTCCTTTTATGCTCTTGACTCAGAAAATTCAATACTAAAAAGACCAATATAATCCGTTTTCTACTGTTTATTTTAAAGCAGGATCTACATTTTCACACCTTCTGGTTCCTATTCTTCTCCTGATTGGCTGGATTGTGGGCTGCATTATAATGATTTATGTTGTCTTCTCTTAGAAAGGTAAGGGTTTTAATAATCGAATGTTTATTTGTAGTCTAAATTACTCCAGAAACAATTTTTTCTATTTTACTAATGGAATGTTTTGTCATTCAGGCAAGAAGATATCACATTGACATCATTTAGAAGAATTAAGAAAACTATGAACATGACTGATTATTAAATGTCTCATGTTAAACAATGAAATGTTTGACATCACTTCACAAACTTGGATTATAAACTGTACTTTGGTGTGCATAAGAATTTCTTCAGGACAAAAAGAAATTATGAGTGAATTTCTCTATATTCTGAGTGAGAAAAATGTTTAGCTATGATGAAAAATGCATGTCATTAAAAAAGTTTGATCAATTTAATTACATTACAAAAAATTCTCCCCCCTACCCTCTGGAAAAAACTATAGAGAAAGTTGGCTAAGGCTGTGCACGGTGGTTCATGCCTGTAATCCCAGCACTTTGTGAGGATCCCTTGAGCCCAGGAATTGGAGACCTGCCTAGGCGACAGAGAGAGACTCCATCTCTACAAAAAAAAAAAATATATATGGGCTAGAGATAAAAACAGACAATTCATAGAACATATACTGTAAAAGTACACTTACTTAACCTCTTGTTCGCAAAAAGAGAAATGTAATTAAAACTACACTGAGGAATCATCGCTCACTTATCAGATGGGAAAAAAAATAAAGATGTTTGACAACATATGTGTTGGTAAGGCTGTGTGCAATTAGGCATTCTCATCCATTGTCTTTGGGAATTCAAAATGCTATATTTTGGGGGATGTTTGGTGGTACATATCTATCAAAATTATATACGTATTTAATTTTTGACTCAGCGATCTCTCTTCTAGGAATATGGCAATTTCCACAGGTATATGAGCAAAAATAGAAAATGACTTATATACAAAGCTATTTATTCTGGCATACTCTGTTTTGCAAAAACCTGGAAATAAGCCAAATATCTTTTAAGAGGGGATTAACTGAACAAACTGTGGTATGTCTACATAATGTAGTACTTATGCAGTTGTAAAAAGGAATGAAAAGGATTTTTAGATACTGATATGATGAGATCTCCAGGACAAAGTGTTAAGTGACGAATCCAGCTATAGGACAATGTGTGCTACTTTTTATATGAGAGAAGAAGGGGATATACCAATGTGTACATGTATTTGTTGAAATTAAAATATTGTGAGGAGAAACAAATGGAGGCTAGATATCTCTGAATATGTCTTGTTTTATAGTTTTTATTTTTGGAATCATATAGCTATTTTATAAGTTAAAAAGAAAAAAATTATTTCTCAAAATTTAAAACAAACTAAAGCAGATCTGATAGTATATCAAGTTGTGGCATAACCACACAGAGAAAAGACATCTTTCATGCATCTTTATAACATAGCATATTTGACTGTACACCTCTTATGGGGTAAAAATTTTAACCATATTCAGTAGTCTTTTTGTTCATGGTAATATTGATATGGTTTGAAATTAATATCATCAGCATAAAACTCAAGTAAATAATTGGTGATATTAAATCTGAATAGCAAATATCAGTATAAACTAATTATTTTTCTTCTTCTAAAACAAAAAGTCTATTCAAACTCTGTCCACTGGAAAAGGCTGGGAGGAAGGAGTCCAGTCTGTAAGTCCAGTCTCCACTCAAAGGAGGCAGGGATCCCTGCCCTAGCCTAGGGCAGAAAATGTACAATGTAATCTGCAATTTCATACCGAATGGATTAGTCTGATTATACCTGAACCCACTGATTAATTTAACATCACCAAAAATATTACAACTCAACATTGTGTTCCTTCTGATAGGAGATGGTAGAAAGTAGAGTGCCACCTATGAAGTATTCTTGCCAAAACAAGTGAACCTGAAGCAGAACAAGTTTCTGGATCTATCTAAGGCTACTCTAAACAAAATCATGAAGATATATTCTGCCAAGTCCAAAGTGTGGAAAATTATAAAGGACACATAATTCAGTTTTTCCAACAAATAACTAGCATTACAAAGTGAGGTGGCTCACGCCTGTAATCCCAACACTTTGGGAGGCCGAGGCAGGTGGATCACCTGAGACCATCCTGACCAACATGGTGAAATCCCGTCTCTACTAAAAACACAAAAATTAGCTGGGCGTGGTGGCGCATGCCTGTAATCCCAGCTACTCGGGAGGCTGAGGCAGGAGAATTGCTTGAACCAGAGAGTCGGAGCTTGCAGTGAGCTGAGATCATGCCACTGCACTCCAGTCTGGTGACAGAGTGAGACTCCGTCTCAAAAAAAAAAAAAAAAAAAAAAAAAGAAGTGAGGTGAGAAGGGAGAAACTATTATAGAAAAAAAGAGACTTAAAATGATAGCCAACAAATGAATCAACTACAAAAGACACATTTTTGCATGTCTGTGATATTAAAGAATTGTTATTAATTCTAGACATTACATGTTAGGGTTAGAATATGGTTTGTTTTTCTCCACCAAATCTCATACTGAAATTTAATTCCCAGTGTGGCAATTTAGGGAGGTGGGGCCTAGTGGCAGGTGTTTGGGTCATAGGGATGGATCCCTCATGAATGGCTTGGTGTCTTTCTCTTGGTAATGAGTGAGTTCTCACTCTCTAGAGACTAGGATGGCTCCTTAGAAAGTGGGTTGTAATAAAGCCGGAATGCCCCTTGGGCTTGGCCGCTCTTCACATATGGCCACTTACCTGTTGACCTCTGCCATGTTTGACTCAGCACAAAAGCCTCACCGTAAGCTGAGCAAGATGTCAACACCATGCTTCTTATACAGCCTGTGGAATGAGCTTATTAAATCTCTTTTCTTCATAAGTGACCCAATCTCAGGTATTTCTTTCAGCAACACAAAATGGACTAAGACACTATAATAATGACTTGGAATAGAAAAGGCTCTTATTTGTTAGAGAGAATACTGAAATAATTGCTGGTTAGATATTAGGATATCTTTACCTTAAAATATTCCTATAGACAACAAACTAAAAAACGAAGTGGGGAACATTAAATAAGACAGGCAAAATGTTGACATTTGCTTAAGACGAATGATCTCACAAGGATTTATTGTACTCTTTATTCTACTTTTGTGAATATTTAACTCTTTTTTTTTTTTTTTTTTTTTAGACGGAGTCTCGCTCTGTCGCCCAGGCTGGAGTGCAGTGGTGCAATCTCGGCTCACTGCAAGCTCCGCCTCCCGGGTTCACACCATTCTCCTGCCTCAGCCTCCCGAGTAGCTGGGACTACAGGCGCCTGCCACCTTGCCCAGCTAGTTTTTTTGTATTTTTTAGTAGAGACGGGGTTTCACCGTGTTAGCCAGGATGGTCTCAATCTCCTGACCTCGTGATCCACCCGTCTCGGCCTCCCAAAGTGCTGGGATTACAGAATATTTAAAAATTTTTATAAGAAGTTTCCTTTTTCCTCCCAGTGACTCTGTGTTGCAAACCGTAACTAATACAAGTAAGCAAAATTACATAAAATAAAACATAGTGCTGTTCCTGACCCTCACCCTGGGAGATTCTGATTCAGCAGGTGTGCACTGGAACCAGAAATCTGCATTTTAACAAATTCCTCCAGGGATACTTGGGCACACTAAAATTTAAGAACCGTTGTTTTAGAGAAGTGGTGCTCAGACTTTAGTGCACATCAGTATCCTCTAGAGAACTTGTTAAAACACAGATACAGATAGCTGGACATCATTCTCAGAGTTTCTGATTCAGATCTGGGGTGGAGGCCTATGAATTAATTTCTAACAAGTTTTCAGGTAATGCTGCTGCTGCTTCCTTGGGATCTGTATTTTGAGAACTGCTGTTCTAGAAGGGAGCTGATTTCTTCCTCGTAACTTTCACACTATCTTCCATTTGATTAATTTCTCTACATAAATTAATCCTCATCGAAAAGTTAGAAAAAGCTTTTGCTCTCTTCATTGATTCTGATCTTTTAAACATGGCTAAACACTTCAAAAATGCTTCTTAAATATATTTAGAGAAATATTTACAAAATGTAAGCAGAAAATGTGTGCAAAATTAGGCTCAACTCATTTCCTTAATGACTTGTCCTAATTTAAGTTTTCTCCAGACCTGAGAAAACCTAACTGACCTTCAGTCGAGGTCTTGTCGGAGATGACTCCTACAGACTTCTCGAAGTTGATTGTTAATAGCTTCAGGAATTTTGTATTAGTCAGTGTCTCATCTGTAGCTTGAAACTGGTCATGGAGGAGTATGTACACCACAAAAATCAACAAATGCTATATATTAGGGCTTGTTTTGCTGAATCGCCAGCTCCTAAACATTTACCAGCACACCACTGCCTTGAATCCCTTTGTCTGATGCTTACACAGGTTTGTCAGGGATTCAAGACCAGCCACTTTTGAAAAAAAATCTTCTTGAGGTAATTGGAAAGATGATCTCTTCATTTACTTGAGCTTGTTTTGTGCTATAGACTTTAATGAGAAATCTGTGAAAGCTATAAGCTCTCCCAGAAACCAAACGTTCATAAAACATTGCAATACTATTTAAGGTGTTTATGGACTTCCTGAAATCTACAGAAAAGACACCTCGGGTTAAGTAACTCCTTAAGTGTTTCCTACTTTCTGAAGCCTTTAGGCTTTTTCACAACTTGCCTCCAGTTTCACCTGGAGTTAAAAACATGACCTCATATTTAAGCTTTCTTTCTAGATAAAGACCAGTTTTTCTTTTATCCCTTTTTAAAAAAATTATTATTTATTGATTTATTTTAATGGACAAAAAAATATTTATGGTGTACATGATATTTCAATATATGTATAAATTATGGAATGACTAAATCAAATTAACATGTACGTTATCTCACACAATTATCCTTTTGTGGTGAGAACATCAAAGTCTACTCTCTTGCCCCAGTCAATGGCACATGCCCATAGGTCCTAGCTACTTAGGAGGCTGAGGTAAGAGGATCACCTGAGGCCAGGAATTTAAGCCTTTGGTGCATTATGTTCATACCTGTGAATAGCCACTGCACTGCAGCCTGGACAACACAGCAAGATCCCATCTCTAAAACAACAATGACAACAACCAAAACCACTCTCTTAGCAATTTTTAAGTACGTGATACATTGTTATTAACTATAATCACTGCATTGTGCAATGGATCTTCTGAACTTATGTCTCCTGTCTAACTAAAATTTTGTATCCTTTGACCAACATCTTGAATCCCTACCCACTCCTCCCTCAGACCCTGACAACTACCATTTTATTCTCTGCTTCTATTTTTATTTAAAATAGAAGTTCAATTAGAAAGTTAAATAAAATAGTTCAATTTTATTTAAAATCCACATGTAAGTGATATAATTTGGTACTTATCTTTCTGTGCCTGATTTATTTCACTTAGCATAATGTCTTCTAGGTTCATCTGTGTTGTCAAAAATGACAAAATTTTCTTCTTTTTAAGGCTGAATAATATACAACTGTGTATATATACCACATTTTCTTTTTTTTTTTTCTTTCTTTCTTTCTTTTCTTTTTTTTTTTGAGATGGAGTCTCGCTCTGTCGCCCAGGCTGGAGTGCAGTGGCGCAATCTCGGCTCACTGCAAGCTCCGCCTCCCGGGTTCACACCATTCTCCTGCCTCAGCCTCCCGAGTAGCTGGGACTACAGGCACCCGCCACTACGCCCGGCTAATTTTTTTGTATTTTTAGTA